TCATCATCGTCATTGGTGTCATCTTCATCATCATTGGTGTCATCTTCATCATCGTCATTGGTGTCATCTTCATCATCATTGGTGTCATCTTCATCGTCGTCATCATCATCGTCATTGTCATCATCATTGGTGTCATCTTCATTGTCATCATCATCATCGGTGTCATCGTGTCTTCACCGTCATTGTCATCATCGTCGTCATTGGTGTCAGCATCGTCTTCATCGTCACCATCATTGGTGTCATTTTCATCATCGTCGGTGTCATCTTCATCATCATCGTCATGGTCTTCACTGGTATTGTCATCATCGTCGTCATTGGTGTCATCTTCATCATCATCATCATCATCAGTGTCATTGTTGTCTTCATTGTCATTGTCATCATCACCATCACCATTGGTGTCATCCTGGTCTCCATCGTCATTGTCATCATCATCAGTGTCATTGTCATCATTGTCATCATCGGTGTCATCGTCATCATCATCATCGGTGTCATTGTCTTCATCGTCATTGTCATCATCATCAGTGTCATTGTCATCATTGGTGTCATTGTCAACATCATCGGTGTCATCATCGTCATCGGTGTCATTGTCATCATCAGTGTCATTGTCATCATTGTCGTCATCGGTGTCATCGTCATTGTCATCATCGGTGTCGTCTTCTTCATCGTCATTGTCATCATCATCAGTGTCATTGTCATCATTGGTGTCATTGTCAACATCATTGTCATCATCATCGTCATCGGTGTCATTGTCACCATCATTGGTGTCATCATCGTCATTGGTGTCATTGTCAACGTCATTGGTGTCATCGTCATCAGTGTCATCATCATTGGTATCGTCTTCACCGTCATTGTCATCATCATTGGTGTCATCATCTTCATCATCTGGCACTGTCATCATCATCATCACTGTTGTCATTGTTGGCCGTTGCCACGGCTCATCATCGTCACCGTCGTTGGTCATCGTCATTGTCACCATTGTTGGTCATCGTCACTATTGTTGGCCATGGCCATTGTCACCATAGTTGGTCATTGTCATCGTCACCATCGTTGCCCATGGCCATTGTCACCATAGTTGGCCATTGTCACCACAGTTGGTCATTGTCACCATCATTGGTCATTGTCACCATCATTGGTCATTGTCATCGTCACCATCGTTGCCCATGGCCATTGTCACCATAGTTGGCCATTGTCACCATCATTGGTCATTGTCACCATTGTTGGTCAATGTCAACTTTGTTGGCCACGGTCATTGTCACCATCATTGGCCATGGCCATTGTCACCATCACCACTGTTGGTCATCGTCATCGTCATCGTTGCCACCGTCACCGCTGCGCTCCCGGAGCCGCGACCACCGGGAGCCGCCTCCGGCCGACCCGACGTTCCCAAAAACTGCAGGAATTCCCCGAAAACTGCGGGAATTCCCCGAAAACCGCAGGAATTCCCCGAAAACTGCGGGAATTCCCCGAAAACCGCGGGAATTCCCCCAAAACCGCAGGAATTCCCCCAAAACCACAGGAATTCCCCGAAAACCGCGGGAATTCCCCGAAAACCGCAGGAATTCCCCCAAAACCACAGGAATTCCCCGAAAACCGCGGGAATTCCCCGAAAACCGCAGGAATTCCCCCAAAACCNGGGAGAAAAGAGCAGGAAAGAGTTAAATAAACATGCGGGGGGGGAGGGGCTGGGCCAGGCGGGGCCGCGGCGGTGGCGGCGTCATCTTCATCATCATCGGTGTCATCTTCATCATCGTCATTGGTGTCATCTTCATCATCGTCATTGGAGTCATCTTCATCGTCATCTTCATCATCGTCATTGGTGTCATCTTCATTGTCATCGGTGTCATCTTCATCATCGTCATTGGTGTCATCTTCATCGCCATCGGTGTCATCTTCATCGTCATTGGTATCATCTTCATCATCGTCATCGGTGTCATCTTCATCATCGTCATCGGTGTCATCTTCATCATCGTCATCGGTGTCATCTTCATCATCATCGTCGTCATCTTCATCATCGTCATTGGTGTCATCTTCATCATCATCATTGGTGTCATCTTCATCATCATTGGTGTCATCTTCATCATCATTGGTGTCATCTTCATCATCGTCATTGGTGTCATCTTCATCATCATCGGTGTCATCTTCATCATCATCGGCGTCATCTTCATCATCATTGGTGTCATCTTCATCATCGTCATCGGTGTCATCTTCATCATCATTGGTGTCATCTTCATCATCGTCATCGGTGTCATCTTCATCATCATCGGTGTCATCTTCATCATCGTCATCGGCGTCATCTTCATCGTCATTGGTGTCATCTTCATCATCTTCATCATCGTCATTGGTGTCATCTTCATCATCGTCATCGGCGTCATCTTCATCATCATCGTGTCATCTTCATCATCGTCATCGGCGTCATCTTCATCGTCATTGGTGTCATCTTCATCATCATCATCGGTGTCATCTTCATCATCGTCATCGGTGTCATCTTCATCATCGTCATTGGTGTCATCTTCATCATCGGTGTCATCTTCATCATCGTCATTGGTGTCATCTTCATCGTCATCGGTGTCATCTTCATCATCGTCATCATCATTGGTGTCATCTTCATTGTCATCATCATCATCGGTGTCATCGTGTCTTCACCATCATTGTCATCATCGTCGTCATTGGTGTCATCACCATCGTCTTCATCGTCACCATCATTGGTGTCATTTTCATCATCATCGGTGTCATCTTCATCATCATCATCATTGTCTTCACTGGCATTGTCATCATCGCCATTGGTGTCATCTTCATCATCATCATCATCATATCATCAGTGTCATCGTTGTCTTCATTGTCATTGTCATCATCATCGTCATCATTGGTGTCATCCTGGTCTCCATCGTCATTGTCATCATCATCAGTGTCATTGTCAACATTGTCATCATCGGTGTCGTTGTCTTCATCGTCATTGTCATCATCATCAGTGTCATCATCGTCATCGGTGTCATCATTGGTATCGTCTTCACCGTCATTGTCATCATCATCGTCATTGGTGTCATTGTCACCATCATTGGTGTCATCATCGTCATCAGTGTCATTGTCACCGTCATTGGTGTCATCATCGTCATCAGTGTCATCATTGGTATCGTCTTCACCGTCATTGTCATCATCATTGTCATCGGTGTCATTGTCAACGTCATTGGTGTCATCATCGTCATCAGTGTCATCACTGGTATCGTCTTCACCGTCATTGTCATCGTCATTGGTGTCGTCATCTTCATCATCTGGCACTGTCATCATCATCATCACTGTTGTCATTGTTGGCCGTTGCCACGGCTCATCATCGTCACCGTCGTTGGTCATCATCATCGTCACCATCGTTGGTCAATGTCACCTTTGTTGGTCATTGTCATTGTCACCAGCATTGTCACCATCGTTGGTCATCATCATCGTCACCATCGTTGGCCACGGCCATTGTTACCATCGTTGGTCATTGTCACCATTGTTGGTCAATGTCAACTTTGTTGGCCACGGCCATTGTCACCATTGTTGGCCATGGCCATTGTCACCATCGTTGGCCATTGTCACCACAGTTGGTCATTGTCACCATCGTTGGCCACGGCCGTTGTCACCACAGTTGGTCATTGTCACCATCGTTGGCCACGGCCATTGTCACCACAGTTGGTCATTGTCACCATCATTGGTCATTGTCACCATTGTAGGTCAATGTCAACTTTGTTGGCCACGGTCATTGTCACCATCATTGGCCATGGCCATTGTCATTGTCACCATCACCACTGTTGGTCATCGTCATCGTTGCCACCGTCACCGCTGCGCTCCTGGAGCCGCGACCGCCGGGAGCCGCCTCCGGCCGACCCGACGTTCCCAAAAACTGCAGGAATTCCCCGAAAACCGCGGGAATTCCCCGAACACTGCGGGAATTCCCCGAAAACCGCAGGAATTCCCAAAACACTGCGGGAATTCCCCGAAAACCGTGGGAATTCCCCGAAAACCGCGGGAATTCCCCGAAAACTGCGGGAATTCCCCAAAAACCGCGGGAATTCCCCAAAAACCATGGGAATTCCCCCAGGACCGCGGGAATTCCCCCAAAACCACGGGAATTCCCCAAAAACCGCAGGAATTCCCAAAACACTGCGGGAATTCCCCGAAAACCACGGGAATTCCCCGAAAACCACGGGAATTCCCCCAGAACCGCGGGAATTCCCTGAAAACCGCGGGAATTCCCTGAAAACCGTGGGAATTCCCCGAAAACTGCAGGAATTCCCCGTTTCCGCTCCCGCCCGGGAGGACGCGGAACGATGGAGGAGTTGTGGGATCTGGAGGTTGTGGTGGGCGGGATTCCCGCGGATTCCATGGATTTCCCATCGATTCCATGGATTCCTGAGGATTTCCTGTGGATTCCATGGATTTCCCGTGGATTCTGTGGATTTCCCGTGGATTCCATGGATTTCCCATAGATTCCATGGATTTCCTGTGGATTCCATGGATTCCCGTGGATTCCTGAGAATTCCCATGGATTTCCTGAGGATTTCCATGGATTCCNGTGGATTCCTGAGAATTCCCATGGATTTCCTGAGGATTTCCATGGATTCCTGTGGATTCCCATGGTTTTCCTGCGGATTCCTGAGAATTCCCAGAGATCGCCATGGCTTCCCTTGGAGTTAACAGATTCCCATCGATTCCGACGGATTCCCATGAATTCCGTAGATTCCTGGAGATCTCCACAGATGTCCCACGGATTCCCGCGGAATTCCTGAGAATTTCCACGGATTCCCACAGATTCCTATGGACTTCCATGGATTCCTGTGGATCCACATGGATTTCTGTGGATTCCTGAGGATTTCCATGGATTCCCATGGATTTCCTGTGGATTCCCACGGATTCCTGAGAATTCCCATGGATTTCCTGAGGATTTCCACAGATTCCTGTGGATTCCCATGGATTTCTTGAGGATTTCCACGGATTCCTGTGGATTTCCTCAGGATTTCCACGGATTCCCATGGATTTCCTGTGGATTTCCACGGATTTCTGTGGATTTCCTCAGGATTTCCATGGATTCCCATGGATTTCCTGTGGATTCCCATGGATTCCCATAGATTCCTGAGGATTTCCGTGGATTCCCGTGGATTTCCTGAGGATTTCCATGGATTTCTGTGGATTTCCTCAGGATTTCCATGGATTCCCATGGATTTTCTGTGGATTCCCGCGGATTCCTGAGGATTTCCATGGATTCCCGTGGAGTCAACAGATTCCCATCGATTCCGACGGATTCCCGTGAATTCCCGCGGATTCCCGGAGACCTCCGCGGGTTCCCGAGGATTCCCGGGAATTCCGGCCCTGCCAAGGCACTTCACTCCGTGCGGAGGATGATGTGGATCCCGGATTCCGTGAACACGGGGCCGCTCATCTCGCCGGCCCGCAGCGCGAACGAGGCGTCCTCGAACGGCTTCTGCATCTGCCCTGCGACCAAAACCCCCAAAAATCAAAAAAAACCCAAAAAAACGGGATTTGGGGCTCTTCCCGGAGAAAAATCCGGGATTTCAACACCGGGGGAGGCGATTCCGGGAGTTTGGATGGAGCACGGTTGGAATTACGGGGGATTCGGGGTTGATTTGGGGCATAAATCCCTTGGAATTGGAGGATTTGGGGAAACAACCCCTGAAATGGCTGATTTTAGGGATAAATCCCCTGGAATTGGAGGATTTTGGGATTTTTTGGGGAAACAACACCTGAAATG